TCTTTAAATTCATTGAATTCCTTGATCATGTTTATGATTGTTCTTTTAAATTCTGTGTCCTGGTTTATCTCTAGGGGGTTCTCCTTGTAGAGCTCTTCTATAAGACTGGTGGTGTTTGCTGGGAACACACAGTTTTGGTTTTCCCTATTATTTTTCTGTTGCAATTTTGTGGATTTCTTTTGTTCTTTGTGATTCTAGCATGAAACACAGCCTTCCTTTGTTGAGTTGAGGTCTGCTTCTGTTTGTATTACTCATGTGCCTTGGTTGTTTTTGCATTAGATATGTTGGGCTGATTGGTCTAAGTTTCAGGTTCTCTCAGATTTTATATTGGAACTGATTACTTCAGATAAGCTTCTCTTATTATTTCAGCTAGAATTTCAAGCACTATATTGAAAAGAAGTATTCTCTGTAGGATTGGTTTGGTGGACATGAATTCTTTAAGCCTATTCAAGTCATAGAAGATTTTACTTTCCCCTTCGACTATGTTAGATGGTTTTGCTGGGTAAAATATCTGGGCTTGGCATTTATTTAAGTCATTTAGAACTTGGGCTACTTTGCTCCAGGCTCTTAAAGTCAGTTGTAATTCTGATGGGTTTTCCTTTATATGCGACTTTCACTTGCAGTTTTCAGTATTCTCTTTGTTCATGTGGTTTTTTAAATGTTTTATTTTTATGTGTCTGAGTGTATTTCCTGCATGAATATAAGTGCATCTGTGATGTGCAAGGCCCATGGAGGTTATCAGATCCCCTGGAACTGGAGTTAAGGATGGTTGTTAGTCACCATGTGGGTCCTAGGAACCAAACCCAGGTCTTCACGAGCAGCCAGTTTTCTTAACCACTGAGTTATCTCTTCAAACCCCTACATTTAGTGTTTTTATTATGATAGGCCATGGGTAGTTTCTGTTCTATTCCTATTTGGTGTTCTGTGTGCTTCTTGTATCTCTGTGGGCATGCCTTTCCTTAAATTTAGGGAAAACAGCTTTATTCAAAACCCACTTTTACAGAAATGATCAACATAATGTTGGGCACCACTGTCCAGTCAGTTAAACACACAAAATTAGCTATCAGGGTATGTTTCAGTTAGTTAACCTAAAAAAGTCAGGTGGAATGCTTATAAAGGAACATTAATGATGCCCATTTATTGAATGGGAATTTCGCTACATTACAGGAAGGAAATCAAGAAGATAAACAAACACAGGAGTTCTGACTGTACAGGAACCTAATTTCCAAGTCTTATCATAAAAGCATGTATCTTGGTAACTTCATATGATCCGACCGGCACTCAGAAAAAAGTGAGATGCACCCAAGAGTATGAGTGTGGACTTCTCAAAGAAAGAAGTACAGAAAGTAGGACACACCCAGGTATGGATACAGATTCCTCAAGGGAGAGTAAGCAGTTAATTGTCTTAGCATTAGCCATAAACATTGGGATGGTTCTTGAGTTGGTTGTTAAGAAAGCTTTTTTCCCTTCTCTCTCTTTCTCTCTTTTGATAAGACAGAGACATGAGGTGGCTCTAGGGATTTCTTGAATGGAATTATAACCAGACAAGGTAGACTTAGAACACACAAGGATTAAACAAGGGGTTTAGGGGTTTAGTGTGTGTGTGTGTGTGTGTGTGTGTGTGTATGTATATATAAATTTTATATAAATGGAGTTTCTGATGAGATTCCTAGAAAAAAGCTTTCTTAGCAACCAACTCAAGAACCACCCCTCAAAATGATATATATGGCTAAGGCTAAGACAAGTAATTGATAAGTTAACATTTGTTTGTGGTTGTGTGTGCTATTCTAGGTCAATAGAAGTCAGAAGGTACATAATCCTCTGATAACACAGTTCCTCTTTGCCTTCATTTCATGCTAAATATACTATTGCAGTAAAGAAAAAGAAAGTCCTTGTTCAAGAGCACAGCTTCAAGAGTAATCTCAAGGGGCTGGAGAGATGACTCAACTGTTAGGAACACTGGTTGTTCTTGCAGAAGACCTGGGTTCGAATCCCAGCACCCACATGGCAGCTAACAACTGTCTGTAACTCCAGCCTCGGGGGATCTGACAGCCTCTTCTGACCTCCGTGGGTACTGCACAACACAGGTCCACTTACCTACACGTAGGCAATACATGCATACACATAAAATAATAATAAATAAAAATTTTTTTTAAAAGAGTAATCTTAAGGAACAGGTTCTTACAACAGTTCAGGTTCTCTCTTGGCCAAACGGATGCCAAGAATCAGGGTGTCTTTATTTAAGCATCGTTGTAATGTGAAATCACATAGTAATGTGGCAAAATTCCATTCCTTTCTTTGGGATTAGAAGTCAAAGAAAGTCTTTATGCCTCTTGCAGGTCTTTGCATTAGTTCTCAATTCACTTCATCACCAGTCCCAAATCCTTATGTAAGATCTTGCCTACTTATTGAAGGATGAAGAGGAACAAAAGGGGGACAAAATGGGACATTATTGCTCTTCATATTTTTATGTGCCTGGCTCTAGCTTTATAAGGGTCTAAGTAGTAATAAAGACAAGCTTCAGTCATGACTCTATGGACCTATTTTGAATATGGGCTGAAAGTAAGCTACATGCCAATCTTATTTCCATTTAGTTTTCTGGCATCTAGTCCCACTTTCTTTTTAGTTTTACTTCTGAGTTTCTTGAGACAGGGTCTCTCTAAAGCTCCAGCTGTCCTGGAACTATGAAGACCAGGCTAGCCTTGATTTCACAGGTCCACCTGCTTCTGTTTCCCAAGTGACAGGACTAAAGGCAATGTGACACCATGCCCAGATTCCCACCCGCCTTTAAAAAATTATTAATTTGCCTGAAAGTTACCCCACTCTTATTCTGCTACTGGAATACACTATTCTACGGAAGATGGCGTATTGCTACCACATGGTCTGCATAGCCATTAACTGAATTACTTGCCTTCATATGATCTTTTGTTCTGTCTTTCCTCAATTATATTTTCCATGTTAAATTATTCCTATATCCTCTTAATAGCTGAAACTATTTTTATTACCACTATTTTATTTCGTTTTTGTAGAACGCCCAAAATATTTTTGACATTATGATTTTTGCTATAAGCCCTGCATTCAGCTTTCTGAAGAATCATAAAAAGCTCAACCTGGGGTTAGCAAGATGGTTCGGTTGCATAAAAGACCTGAGTTCAACAGCTAGAACTCACAGAGGAAAGCAAGAGGGTATTCCCAAAAGATGTCATCTGATCTCCACTCATGTACTATATGCTCACACCCATTCTCATTCTCTCATCTTACCCCACCTCCACACACACAAATTTTAAAACTCAACTTGATCTAGCATGAGGTCAGTGGCAAGCCACTGTACCATTTGAAGGTTAATTTCTTCCCTTAATGCCCCTGGCTGGAAGTAGCTAAACATTAAACATTCAAACTGTATCAACAGAACTGACCAGAGCTCACTGCTAAATCTTATGTATTAAGGGAAGAAGAAACAAGGAAGAGAATGGTCATTATTAACTAAATCATTCCATTTTTTTCCTCTAAAGAAAACAGACCCATGGAACCTTTGATGGGTGTGGGGCAGAAAGAGGGCAACCAGTTGGTGTCACTGTGAAGCATGGCTCCAGGGCTTCTATATCTTTTTCCCAACTCAGCTGTAGAGGTAGGAAAGAAACATCAAAGCTACACCTGCAGTTTTTAGCAGTGGGCTGTTTCTGACTTCCAACGCTTAGCTTTAAGGAAAGACTGAAGAGATCATCCTCATCCTCACTTGCCAAGGTTTGTTGTTCAGTGATCTTTCTGGCTCTAGTTATGTCTGTCTCTAATGCAAATGAAACAATGGCTTTCATCCTGTGATTTATACACAATGTTTTTGAATTTTAATTGAATTTTTGTGTATTTGATACGGAACATCTTAATCATCTTTATACTCCCTTTCCCACTGGCCCTCCCCCATAATCCTCCACTGGAATTCATACATTCTGTCATTTATACACAGTTTTTACATTGTCTTTTGAGATAGGTAGTTTTGCCATTTGTCCAGATTGTGCCATATCCATGTGGCACATAACCACTGCTTCCCTTGATAAAATTCTCTGCCCTTAGAGATTTACAGTTCCTCTAAGGTAATAAAAATTTATGACTATTCCCTGGCCACATTGATATTGCCAGCCAATATTTAAAACCCTTATTTTTAAGTTTAAAATTTTCCATTTGGTCAATAATTCACCTTGTACTGTATATACATTTTTAATCTTATAAATAAAAATTAAAAATAAATGCAATTTACCTGAGTGACTTTGCTTGGCCTACATGTTAGTCTTCATTTATGTTATCTAATTTAACAATAATAAAGAGAAAAGGCAGGTGTTTTGGCACACAGCTATAATCCCAGCACCAAGGCCAAGGCAGAAGGGTTTTGTTCTACTTTCCTCCTTGTTGCTGTGACAAAACACTCTGATCAACTTCTTCAGGGAGGAAAGGGTTTATTTCATCCAAAAGGATATAGTCCATCATTGAGGGAAGTCAGGACAAAAACACAAACAGGAACTTGAAGCAGAAATCATGGAGAAAAGCACTTGTTGACTTGCAGGATCATGTTTAGCTAACTTTATTATATAGCCCAAGACCACCTGCTTAGGGAATGGTACTGCCCACAGTAGGCTCAGCCCTTCTATATCAATTAACAAGATAACACCTCACTGACACGTCTACAGACCAATCTGATCTGGAAAATCCTTCAATTATGTCTCCCTTCTTAGATGACCCTAGGTTGTACTGTGTTGACAGTTAAAGCTAACTAGGACAGGTCTCCAGTTTGCAACAAGCCTCGGCTACACAGTAAGACTCTGTTATAAAACAAAGCAAAGCAAAACAAAACAAAATAATAAAGAGAAAGGAAAATGGTTATAGAAATGATTAACTCTTAAGACTTAAAATAATTTTAATCCAAATACATATTTCTTGGTTCTGCAAACAACTGAACTTCTCTGCCATTACCTCCAACCAGGTTTTATTTGAATAAATATGAAAAATTAGATAAAAACATTTTATTGTAAAGTACAAAATGGGGCAAGTGGGTCTTCAACAAAGCTTTAAAACCAAAAGAAACTACATACTAATATTAAACAGTGACAGTGAAATGACAGGAAAGTGAATTGCCAACAGCAAGACAGAGATGTCCCTTTGTCTGGAGGAACAAGACTCCACTTGGAGCTTAAGGAACTCCATGATGTCAATGAAACCAGGACAACAGAAACAAAATAAAACAACTTCTAGGAATACAACTAATGGGGGCAAATCCAATTACACAAAGATTCTACAATAAACTTCATATACTTCATGATGTAGAAAAGATCACAAGTTCTGTGGTGTGTCATATGTTTAAAAGAAGTAAAGATCACAAACTAAACAGCCATTAACAATAGCAATAGCAACACAAGTAAGTCTGTTGCTAATATTAAACATATCATTATAGAACACAATCTAATAGCAAACTATTCTAATAGCTAGGTTTACTATTTTTAACTTTGCAAAAATATTCTAATCAAAGTGGTATAAACTCTAGGATTCTTGTTTCCAAAGACACATTTGTATTTTTCACTGATTGTGTACTGGAGACATCAAAGATCCTCAAAAGGGAAAGCCCCCATTTAGTCACAAGGCACGGTCCTGGTCAGGCATACCTAGTCCTTGAGTCTTTTTGTACTTATGTCACAAGTCCTGGGAGAAGCAACTAAAGAAAGAAAAAGAACAGAAAAAATGGGGAAAAGCCAAAAGATGACTTTATTTAGACAACTTTTGCTAAATGCTACTCATAATTTAGTAAAGTGGATTAGGAGTTTGCTGCCACACTGCTTCACAATCTCTTTTGTTACTTGCTTTGAAGTTTCATTCCAATGAGAGCTGTACACTGTCAGCTTGGCTTTGTGGCTGCTGATACTCATATTTTCTTGCTATAAAAAGTAAAGAGACAGAAAATTAAACTATAAAATACATACTAGCTAGCATCATTAAATCATAATCAAGGAATTCATTTAGAAATAATTCCATTTCTTTAGGAAGTAAATTATATTCCAAGATCTTCAAATTTCTTGACACTGCTTAAATGTTTTTGTGTTTATTATTATTTATATATCAGGATTACTCAAAACTTTAAAATACAGAATAAACACTAAGTATTAGTGTTTCCAATTTCTTTCTTTCTTACTTTATATTGACACCTTTAAAAACATTTTATATTTATACTTTAAGAACTGCATGTGCATGCATAAAATGTATTTTGATCATATCCAACCCCTGCTTTTCCCACATCTCCTTGTACATCTCCCTCCCAACTTCATGCCTTCTTCTTCTTTTTTTTTTTAAACACATTGAATGCAATCAATGCTTCCAGTATGTGCATGGTAGGAGGGCTATCTACTAGAGCATGGGCAAGAGGCCATTTCCGCTAAAGAAACTGACTCTTTGCCCCAGCAGGCAACAACTGCCATATCTCCTCTTGTAGGTATGGAGTTCCTTGCATCCCTCCCTCATCCATGCTAGAATTTTGAATGGCTTGATCTTATACAGGTCTTGTGCAGGCAAACATAGCCACTGTGCATACAGTGTGCAATAGCCCTATCATATCCAGAATAAACTATTTCACAGCAGTCCTCACCAACCTCTTTCCACTTTTCCACTCCCTCTTCCTTCCACAACGATCCCCGAGCTTTGGAGGAGGGGGGTGATACAGATGTCCCATTTAGGGCTGCATACTCAATAGTCACTTATTTACAGCACTTTGATATTACCATTTCTTTTACTATATTTTAACTTATAAGCTTGAGACTTATTGAACACAAAAATCTTATTATGAACTACAAGCAAAAACAGATACACAGTTTTGCTTACTAAGAACTACTTACTGACACAGGGCATGGTGGCATATGCCTGTAGTCTTAGCACTTGGAAGGCAGAGGCAGGCGGATCTCTGTGAGATCAAGACTAGCTTGGTCTACATAGTGAGTTCCAGGCCAGTTGGGGCTATAGGGAAACCTTGTTTCAAAAGACCAAAAAAAGGAAAAAAAAAAAAAGAACTATTTAGTGAATAAAAACTATCTTAACCTTATCCTAGAGATAATATAGAGCTAAAAAGCTTTGTAAGAGCACAGTGTGAGAGTGCCTGATCTGGCCTCTGCCTGGTGTTGGGGCTGAGGACTGCCTGAGAGTGCCCAAATCAGGCCTCCCCTTAGGAAACATCTCCAATTGTGCTCTGAATGCCCACTACTAGGGGTCCAAACCTTAGAAGGAAGCCTGAGTGTACCTGACTGGAGCCTGATTTGGGCCTCTGTGGGAACTCCTGAGTAGCTAATCTAAAGCCATCAGTTGTCTCCAAAATAAAATCTGAGAGAACCTGAAACCTAGATCAACCAGCTTTACATACCCAATAAGAAAAAAACCAAGGCACACCAATCATACAAACAGAAGCAAACTTCAACTCAACAAAAGAAGACATGAGTTTCATACCAGAATTACAAAGAAAAAAGGAAATCCACATGCCAAAACCACAATGAAAAAAATAATAAAATGGAAAATCAAAACACTATGTTCCCACCAAAGTCCACCAGTCCAGTAGAAGAGTTCTACAAGGAGAACCTCTCAGAGATAGCTCAGGACACAGAATTTAAAAGAACAATCATAAACATGATCAAGGAATTCAATGAATTTAAAGAACACAAAAAGAAACAAATCAAAGAATTCACAAAAGAGACAGAAACATTGAAGAATACTCAGGGTGAAATGAAGAAGGAAGTGAAACACCCAATAAGCCAATTTGAAATAACAAGAGAAAGCCTCACTGCTAGAATGAATGAATGGAAAACAGAATATCAACACTGGAGGATAAAGAATTGGACTGCTCAAGCAAAGATTATGAAAAATTAAAAAAAAAAACCAGGAATGGAATACACAAGAGATGTGGGACACCATGAAAAGAACAAATCTACATATCATAGGTACAGAGGAAGGAGAAGAATTTCAGGTTAACAGTACTGACTAGATCTTAAACAGATTGTAGAACAGAACTTCCAAAAATTAAGGAAAGACATCCCCACACAAATAAAAGAAGCACATAGAACACCAAATAGACAGGACGAGAAAAGAAACTCCCCATAGCATATCATAGTAAAAACACTATATGTATAAAACAAAGAGAGAATACTGAAAGCTTCAAAAGAAAAACAACAACTCACATATAAAGGAAAACCCATCAGAATTACAGCTGACTTATCAATGCAAACTATGAAAGCCAGAAGAGCCTGGACCAAAGAATTTCCAGTTCTAAATGACTACAGATGCCAACCTAGATGACTATACCCAGCAAATATGTCTATCAGAGTTGAAGGGGAAAGAAAAATCTTCTAGGACACAAATAGACTGAAAGAATACATGTCCACAAAACCAGCCCTTCAAAGAGTACATGAAGCAACACAAAGGACAGAAAAAGGAACGACTATACCCCAGGAGCAACAGAAAGAAACAAAAGAAGGTTTAACTGTGAAAACACAAAATTACTCAAGGAATGAAAACAGTAATCAAAATGATGGCAACCAACACATATCTTTCAATAATAACTTTAAATATCAGTGGACTGAACTCCCCAGTAAAAAATGACACAGGCTAGTTGAATGGATTAAAAACAAAATCCATCTTTTTGTTGTCTGCAAGAAACCTACCTCACCTTCAAGGACAGGCACTACCTTAAGGTGAAATGATGGAAAAGAATTATTTCAAGCAAATGGCACTAAGAAACAATCAGGGGTTGCAATTCTAAGACTTCAAACTAAAACGAATCAGCAGAGACAAAGAGGGTCGCTTCATTCTGATCAAAGGAACAATTAACAAAGAAGATATTACAATCATGAACATATATGCACCAAACTCTGGTACACCCAAATTCATAAAAACAACACTACAGAACTTTAAAACACAGATTAATTCCAATTCAGTAATAGTAGGGGACTTCAATAGCCCACTGTCTCCATTAGATAGGTCAACCAGACAAAGAATAAACAGAGGAATGTCTGAATTAAATGATATCATACATCAAATGGACCTAATAGACATCTACCAAATATTCCACCCAAGCACCAAAGAATACACTTTCTATTCAGCAACCCATGGAACTTTCTCAAAAACTGACCACATACTTGGACACAAAACAAACCATCAAATACAAAAAAAAACTGAAATAATTTCATGCATTATATCAGACCACTATGCCATAAAGTTTAAAATCAACACTTGAAGAAGCCCTAGGAACAACACGAACTCATGGAGATTAAACCATACACTCCTGAATGATGAGTGGGCCAAAGGAGAAATTAAGAAAGAAATAAAAGTATTCTTGGAATTAAACAAAAAAGGACAATACAACACAACAAAACCTCCGAGACACACTTAAAAGCAGTCCTAAGAAGGAAGTTTATAGCTCTAAGTGCCTACATTAAAAAATCAGAAAGGACACAAATAAATGACTTAACATTGCAGCTCAAGACTCTGAAAAGGCAAAAACAAATGAAATCCAAACCCAGCAGATGAGAAGAAATAACAAAAAGCAGAGCAGAAATTAATGAAGTAGAAACAAATACAAAGAATCAACTAATCTAAGAGCTGGTTCTTTTAAAAGTTAAACAAGGTAGACACTTAGCCCAGTTAACCTAAAGAAGGAAAGAGCAAATCCAAATCAACAAACTCAGAGATGAAGGGGGAAACATCACAACATACACTCAGAAGATCCAGAACATTATAAGGGAATACTTTAAAAACCTATACTCTACTAAATTTGAAAACAAAAAAGAAATGGATGGATATCTAAAATCATGGAAACCACCAAAGTTTACAAAGAAGAGATCAACATTTTAAACAAACCCGTAACAGAAGGAAATTGAAACAGAAATACAAAACCTCCTGAATAAAAAAAGCCTGGGCCCAGATGGATTCAGAGAAGAATTCTACCAGGCATTTAAAGAAGATCTACAATCAATATTACATAAATTATTGAAAAAGATATAAGCAGAGGGAGAACCCCCAAATTCCTTCTATGAAGCCAGCATCAGTCTAATACCAAAACCAGGTAAAGACACAACCAAAAAAGAAAACTATAGACCCATATCCTTAATGAACGTAGATGCAAAAATTCTCAACAAAATACTTGCAAACCGCATACAGACACACGTCAAAAAGATCATCCGCCATGATCAAGTAGGCTTTATTCCAGAGAAGAAGGGATGGTTCAATATTTGTAAATCAATAAATATAAGTCATATAAATGGACTCAAAAATCACATACTCATCTCAATAGTTGTAGAAAACGCCTTTGACAAAATTCAGCTTGGATTCATGTTAAAAGTCCTAAAGGAAATTGACTGGAAGGAACATATCTCAACATGATTTAAGCTATATACAACAAACTGACAGCCAACATCATTCTAAATGGAGAAAAACTGGAAGCATTCCCATTAAAATCAGGAACCAGACAAGGATGTCCATTAGCTCCACTCCTTTTTTATTTGAAACTCTTGCTAGAGCAATAAAACAAGAGAAGGAAATTACAGGAGTACTAACTGGAAAAGAAGAGGTCAAATTATTCCCTTTTGCAGCTGATATGAGATGAGATATCCCAAAAATTCCACCAGAAAACTCCTAGAACTAACACTTCCAATAAAGTGGTAGTTTAAAAACATTAATCTACAAAAATCAGTAGTCTTTCTATATATGAATAATAAACAATTGGAGAAAGAGTACAAGGAAACCCACCCATTCACAATAGCAACCCCCTCCACACACACACATAAAACATCTTGTAATAAACCTGATCAAAGACATCAAAGATCTCTATAACAAAAAATTTAAATCTTTAAAGAAAGAGATTGAGGAAGACACCAGAAGATGGAAGGACCTCCCATGCTCATGG